AAAACAAACATAATAGGAATAAATAAAATAAAAAGAAACTTACCCTGGATGATTTGTAGCTGGTTTCATCACCCTCGCATCAAGCAGTGGTTGGGATGTCTCTGAATCCATTGCATTAGGGTTTTTCATGCGCTCCTCATACATTCTTGCTGCCAGAGCACTTGCTGTTGGTTGCCCCAGCATTCCTTCAGAATTAACCGCATTCAGTGAACCACCAAGCGAAGGGTGAGTACCATCCCTTCGTTGTAACTGAGCTTGACGCATAAGCTGCAGTTGTTGCATCTGCAGTTGTTGTTCCTTCTGTTTCATTTGTTGTGCCTGCACATAAGACATACGCAACAAAGGATGAAAACCAATGGAACTTAGCATCAATTCAACTCACTATATCAGTAATTATGTCGACAGTTCTGAATAATAATATGTCGAGAAAATCACCTCTATATATGCTGCAGCAGCTTCAGAATGTTTCTCGTTCGTCCTTGCTATAAATATGTCCCAGAATACAGACCACCATTCAAACAAAAATCCTCCAGGAGCATCAATTGCTGCACGTCATCATATGCAAGGACTATTATTGTCAATGGAACGTTCTATTCTTAATCGCTGCACAGAATGTGATACAGTAATCTAGTTCCAATATGAACACTCAACTCGAGTCTACTTAGTAGCCACATCAATCATGCGCGATGTATTGAGTGGAACCAGACAAAATCTTATTCCACTAGAAACTTACTGAATAAGAATTGAGAGAAATTTCTGAAGTATTACCTACTGGATCTGGAGCGACCTTTCCTTCATTCATGAAGGACTTAGCCGTGGCATGTAATTTTTTCTTCACTAAATAATCATAGATGTACACATCGAGCCTGGAAAATCAACGAGAGTTTGTGAAAAGTGTAATTGAATGAAATTCTAATAATAGACTGAAACAGAAACATCTAATAATGGACGAAAGGAAAATTGAACAGAAATATTTACATCTTATCTGCTTCCCAGTTACTCTGCGCCATCTTCTATCTTGAAACCCAACGAACTGCTCAAGTAAACGACGAAAAGCCTACCGTAATTATAACCTATATCTGCAAAATTAAGACAGAAGATTCTGCAGCCTGTTGAATTCAGCTCTACAGCCTTAAAAAACACCAAAAAGACGGATCAACGCCCGCATTACCAATCTTCGAAGTCCTGAAATTAAGATCTCCATTGATCAAATATCTCGTCCTCAAATTCACAATCACGTACAGAAAAAATTCAATTCAATAAGCGCGAAACTTTTTCGCGATCTCAGACAAAGCGGTAAACAATTTAGCAGTTCAAAAACAGCCGAAATTCTCACCTAAAATCAAGGAGCTTGTAATTCGGTCGATTAACAAGTTCTAGGGCTAGTGATCAGAGATTTTACCAGGTTCGAACTGCTCCAAGTTAACATCACTTGAATAGCCTTCGAGGACTTCAAAAGAAGCTGAGTTCTGGTTCCAAACCTGACTTCGTGCCCGAGGCTCGGACCCGAACTTAAGCTGGCCCGTTAATTGACGTTGTTGGGCTTTTCCATTTTGACAAACCTGCACGGAAACTGTGACGAGTTGGGAGAATTAGGACCGTTAGATTGTACACGTGGATTTTAAAGAAAGAGACCAAGTCCAGAGAATCAAAGATATTAACTTCGGAATATTGTTGAATCCTAAATTTATTTTATTTATTATTTTTTATTCGCATTATCGACTTTTAAAATTATAATTACTGTTTTATACCTTATAAAATTTTGAATTTGTAATGAAACCATAATTTTTAATTTTTAATTTTTAAAAATATTAGAGACTAAATAACCTTAAACTGAATTTAAATTAAAAACAAAAGTTTTTTGCATAAGAAAAAAAAAGAATTAATTTAAATTGGTGACCTGGCAAAAGGACAAAGAGGGAACTTGACAACGTCAAATGATCTAGGTGGCGATGCCCACGTGGTTAGGAATTCGGTTCGGGTACAGAGCTAGGTGTACATGGCAAATTCACGACCGTTGGATATTCGGCGAAGACGGAGAGAATGATCTCTGATTCAGTCTCCAATATTAGTGCCACGTGCCGGACCCCTTCCCCATATATAAAGGTAATATGATATCAATATAATATTCTTTTTAGTACGAATTAATATAAAAATTCAAATATATAATTATTTAATGAGTTAAATCACAACCACAGTCCTAAAACTTTTAAAAAATATTTAATCGTCACTGCACTTCCAATTTTACAGCAATAATAATAACAATTTATCGATATATAATTAAAAAAAAAAGATAAATACTTTTTTAATTTATATTTCGAAAATTTCTCACTTTACTGGTTGCTGACTGTGTACCAACTTATGGTGGTTATCTATTAGACATCATGTATTTATATTTTGAACAAATACTTTAAATAAAAATTAAAACCATTAAAGAGTAAATTTATAATTTAATACTCGAGGTTGGATAGAATTATTATTATTATTCTTATTATCGATCTGAGTTAGAATTTTTAACAAACAAAAATTTCGATTTAGTTTACGAGTTAACATTTTTTTTATCGAATTATTATCTCGAAAATAAAGTTATAATCTAATCCAACCAACTCTACATTTATTTTTAAAAATGTAAAAAAATATTTAATCCGTGTAACAGTATAAACAAAAATGAGATTGAAAGTCCACAAAGTACGGAAACATGTCTATAACTTCCTCGCCCGGACCTACGCCCCAACCTAGAGTAGCTAGGAGGGGAAGTAAAATTAATTCTTGTTCATACATGGGTTTCTCAGGTATGAAATGAGCCACTTCGAATAGGTTCATTGCTCCGGTTTAAAATACGATTAATCCGGCATGAGTTACACGAGTCCCCAGTAGTTTACCAGATAAATTGATAAGTCGGGTATTCCCGACCCACCAAGCGAAACTGGTATATAAACTATTAACTAACTCCTGCAAATAAAGTAAAATATACCGATCAATTTCTAAAAATAAGGAAAAAAAATTATAAGTACCGCTATATAAATATGTTCTATGATTAATTTTATATTTTAAATCAAATTTAATGACAGTAACGGACGTTGGTAATTCATTTTCGACAGCACAACTCAATTCAACTAACTCGAAAATAAAAAATTGGGTTGAATCGTAAAATCTATTGGAACGGTTAGAATCAGAATCTAAAAATTAAAAAAAAAAATTCGACCCAATACAATACATTTATAGAAGTAAATAAATATATGGAATATTAAATAGGGAAGTACGGGTAGTGGTTCGAACTGCGGAGTTGCATGATGGTGGGAGGACATGGTTTAGTTGCGCCATTAATAGCCGAACCCAACAGCCTCCCTATTAAATGACATCACATTACAGGCCCCATTACCCATTCCCAGTGATTTTTTCTTATTTCCAACTTCAGTCCCTGCAGCTTTTTCCATAACCACTTTTGCCCAATTCAAAACCCTCCAACATACGTCAAATAATGACTTTTATAATTACATTTTGGTCCAAATTTTTACAATTTCTTTTAATTTTGCCCCATATTTTCAAATATTTAAATTGAATTCTTATTTTTGTAAGAATAAATTTTAATATTATTTTCTTGTTAATTAATTTATCTCCTTTTAAAGATCTATTAAAAATATATAAATTAAATTGGATTTAAAAATAAAAAATCAAAATAATATACTATTTTATTAATGAAAAAAAAAAGATTCTGAGTTGTATTTCTTTTTTTCGATAAAAATTTATTACAAATAACGAGAAATTAAAGATTTCAACCTACCACTGCCAAGAAAATAATATTTAACTGTTTCAAATATTTTTAAATTAAATTATATTTATTTTAATTAAGGTAAAATTAATATTGTTTTTGTTTTAAAATTAGCTAAAGCACACGCTTTTGGCATGTTCTTGATGAAATTAAATTGACTTGTGTCTTGAGGGATAAGGTTCATAACAACAAATTACAGCAACTTTAATTTTATGGTACTTTTTTTTTTCGGACTAAAAATATTTATAAAATAATTCATATGTATAATAATTAATTGGGAAGTATATAAAAATGAATAATTAAAAAATGCAAGATAAAATTTAACATTGATTTTTTTTCAATAATAATTAATACAATAAAAATGCATGCTAAGTATCGCATTCGCCCTTTCTTGGCAGTGAATTTGGCAATTGTGCGGTGCTCACTCTCAGCATTGAGTGAGTCAAACCAACTTTAGACCACGTTGCCTACCGTCGGACAACAGCCTCGGGTCCCGTTTTGAAGAGAAGATTTTAGAAAATGGGGAGAGGTTTAGTAAAAGAGTTTTGAAAGTAAAAATGAGAGAGACAGATTAAGAGTGGTGTTATATAGCACGCAAGCAAAAAGGCAACAATAACGGCTTAAACAGTATATAACTTTTTGGGTAGGGAGAATTTGACAACTAATCGCATCCTCTATAGTACATTTTAAGGCATTTTATGTCTACCAGTCGTAGCCATGACTTCGCCGCGTGTCACGGACATGTGGCCATAGGCGACATGTCTTGGACAAGCATGACTGTGAGACTATGACAATTTAAGAGAGAATATTGTTTTTAACAGAGTTTTCACGAAAAAAAGAGGAGTTTAAAAATAAAATTGGACAAATATATATATATATATATATATATATATATATATATATATATATTTTTTTAATTTAGTTTAGAAAATAGTGATTATAGGATTTAATATTTTATGTATATATAAAATAAAAATAAAAATAAAAATTAATGGCAATTCAGATAATGCGAAAAGGCGAAGAAGAAGGAATCCTGTCTGATTGGCTAATGTTTTTATTCCTTTTAATGGATTGGCGGAGGGACAGTTGGAAATATAAATGGCATTGGCAGGGGTAGATGGAGACGTCCTTGAATTAAAGTCAAGCTGTATTTAATTTTGAATTTAATTTTAATTTAATTTACCTGTCTCTCGTGCCAGTGTCTGTTTGTTTTTTTTCGTCTATATAAATGACGTTTGATCTCTGTGTAATCAGAGCAAAGCTACCAATGGCGTCTTTCTCTCTGCGTTCTGTGGCTTTTTGGGTGTGTGTGGGGATTGCCTTGGTCGGAGCCGACAATGTGGTAGAAGATGACAAGCGTTTGTTTCATCGGCCACTTGGTTTTTTGAAGGGGAGAGGGTTTCGCGGAGGCGGAGGTTTTGGTGGCGGTGGCGGTGGAGGTTTTGGAGGTGGAGTTGGAGGTGGATTTGGTGGGGGAGCTGGCGGTGGGTTTGGTGGTGGAGCTGGTGGCGGCGGCGGTCTAGGCGGTGGAGGTGGGTTGGGAGGTGGTGGTGGTTTGGGTGGTGGAGGAGGGCTTGGAGGAGGTGGTGGGCTTGGAGGCGGTGGTGGTTTGGGTGGTGGAGGAGGCTTAGGGCATGGCATTTATAAAAGGGGGTTTAAAAGTGGAGGGCTAGGTGGTGGCGGTGGATTGGGTGGTGGTGGAGGGCTCGGTGGAGGAGGTGGTTTAGGAGGTGGAGGAGGCATTGGGCATGGTATTTACAAAAGGGGTTTTAAGGGTGGAGGACTTGGAGGTGGAGGTGGTATTGGCGGCGGAGGAGGACTTGGAGGTGGAGGTGGTCTTGGTGGTGGCGGAGGACTTGGAGGTGGTCTTGGTGGTGGCGGAGGACTTGGAGGTGGAGGTGGTCTCGGTGGAGGTGGAGGACTTGGAGGAGGAGTTGGTAGCGGTCTTGGAGGAGGAGCTGGTGGCGGTCTTGGAGGAGGAGCTGGTGGCGGTCTTGGAGGAGGAGCTGGTGGTGGTCTTGGAGGAGGAGCTGGTGGAGGTCTGGGAGGAGGAGCTGGTGGTGGGTTTGGTGGCGGAGGTGGTGTAGGTGCTGGAGGCGGATTTGGAGGAGGAGCAGGAAGTGGAGTTGGTATTGGTGGTGGAGGTGGCGGTGGCGGAGGGTTCGGCGGGGGTGGTGGCATTGGTGGTGGTGCCGGTTTCGGCGGTGGAGCGGGGTTTGGAGGTGGTGGCGGCCACCACTAAAATGCATTTTTTTCAAATATATCTATTTCTTATCTAAATTGTGAAAATTATTGTCTGGTTATCCAACACCTTTCCCTTTATTAATGTTTTCCTTTAGGATTGGTGATTTTAAATTATGTAATGTGAATTTTATTTTATAAAAACTTAAAGAGTTCGACTGGAATTTGCTCGTTAAAAATGACATTCATTATATAGCCTTTAATTCAATCTCCGTTGTAATGAATACGGTGCGTTTTGGATGACCGATCTCGGCCCAGTCGTCTTCATGCATGCAGAGTACGACGCTAATCATTAAAGCAATATTATTAATTATTATTACATGACATTTTTACGTATTATTCCACGTCATTAATTTATTCTGATCAATACGTTTTTTTTTAAAGCAAGGGAATAATTTGTTTTATTTGATATTTGCAATTTGAAATTATTCATTTATATTAAAATAAATAAATGAATTACTCAATTATTTATCTTAGTAATTCGATATATCTCATTGTTTTTTAAATGCCCTTTTCATAGAATATTAAAATGCTTTAATATCACAAAGAAAAAGGATCCATTTTTTGAGAATATTTAAATGCGGATCATGCCTCGATTATTTTGGCCGTAGTATATTGGAATCTGGCTTTGAGGGGTACTTTTGACTTTTCACATTGTTTATATGAAGATTTTGAGACTTGTATTTAAGTATTAAAATGAATTTCGATCTCTAATTTTAAAAATATTATATTTTATTTTTTTATTTTGAGTTTAATATTTAATTGGTTCGTAAGTTTAAAAATTTTACATTTTTAATTTTGATTTTCAAATTTAATTCTTATTTTACGTCCCATTTCACTAATTCTTATTTTTAATATTTGATATTAACTTTTAGTTGATTAATTTAAAATAATTGAGCCATTTTCTAGTTAACTTTAATGGCTAGAAATAGGTATTTAGTGAAAAAATGAAGGGCAAAAGTGTAAATATTGGAAATATAATTCAAAACTCAACTGTAAAAAATGTAATATTTTTCAAAATTACGAATGTGTCCTCGGCCTAAAGGTTACAGTTTTGAGACTATCAACGTAAAAAGATTATTAGGCATAATTAGGGAAGAGGATAAATTTGTAATTTAATAATTAGGGAAGAGGATAAATTTGGGCTGACTCATTATTCGATGGTTGGATCGAGGACCACATTGAAAGAATCCAAAAGCCCACGACTCGGCCCGACGCAACCCATGTCGTTTATGTGTAGAAATCGGCACGGCGGGTTCTAATTCATCTCGTTCTTCGAAGGCCACAGAGTTCCCAGATTCTCTACAAGATGGAATTCTGCAATTCACTCATCTTCTTCACCCTGTTAATCATCCTCCCTCTCGCTAGGGTTTGTTTTATCTGATCGTTTCCGTGATTCTGTCTGATTCTTAAGTTATTTTTCTTTTTCTTTTTTTTTTTTCCCGCGGATTTATACTTTGGAGAAGCCGCGGGATCTGATAATTCTTCAATTTGACGTGTTTTACATTTTTATGGTTTGATCCAGTGCGGGGATACTGGCTCGGTGATTTTTGTTGATAGCTCGTCGCATCAATATCTTCGATCTCATTCGACCGATGATGGCTCCGAGGTAATTTAGTTTATTCTATATTTTCTCTGCCCTGGCATGATTGGTTCGGTTGCCTATCTGTGAATAGACTCGAGTTTCCTGCTCAAATTGTTTTGAATTCCGTTTCCATATCTGTGTTGGATCTTTGCGAATTCCGGTGGATTGAAGAAAATGAACCTGGAACTACTTGAACTGATTTGAGCTGTTCATTCTTGAATGTTAGCATTATATTTGTTTCACATCGTAATTACATATGATTGCATTTTGAAATTCACGTGCTCATCCTGCTAATAAGTGGTATCAGCCATCGTCTGCCAATAAGTGGTTAACGGATTTAAGAAAGCCTATGTGTTTCACATTTCGTGATGTTGAAATTGAAATGGAATTTTGAGGGTTTTTTTTTTACGGCGATGGTCTGAGAACATTGTGAACCCTTCTAGTGTCAACCAATCCGACAATAGATGAGCAATTTTAAACGTATTGTCCATTGCTTACCCATATTCTCAGTGGGAATTATTAATGTGACAGAATGTCGAACTTTGCTCTGTTATGTTTTTTTTGTGACAGAATATTAGCTTATCTTCTCATGTTATGCTCTCATATTTGATTTCCACAGGTTAGTTCAATGTCACTACCAGAAGTTGCTGCTACTGTGTCAGTCTTGCTTGGTTTTGCGCCGCCTTCAATGCTTTCAGCTTCTGGTTCATCTAAGGTTCTTGATTGTTTGATAAGTTTTGCAGAAGTTTTCGTTGTAAATTATGTATGCGGCCGTAAGGTTTTGATCATGTTATTAGTGCCTTTTTTGCAGCTGAATGGGATTTTGATGCCAAATCCGCTTGATAGGCCTCGTTCAGTTTTTATGCTTGAAATTAAAGGAGCACATGGTCTCTGCAGTAATTTTGAAAATGTTATTCTTGGTTGCAAGTTTTTTAAAGGTGTTGACCTTTTTCAATTCTGATACTTGCAGATCCGGAAGTTGTAAGCCTTGTAAGTGGCATGTCCAGCAATGTTCTTACGAGTAAGGTTCACGTAAGTTCTGAGAGCGCTGACATCCAACTTCCTGGTATTTGTTCCTTCCAAAATCGTTATTGGTTTATCTTTTTTCCCAAATATTTTCCACTGGCCTTTGGCCTTTCTAATGATAGTTATTAGCAGGTGAGGATGAAGTGTCTGTTGTTCCTTTGAATGAACCATTGGCAGCTTATACTGATGAAGATATTAGTGAATTTGTAAGTTATGATATTAAACGCCTATATTTTTACCCATTTCATTTTCAACAATTTCTAATTTGTTTGAATATCTTACTAGGCATCTTTCATTGGTGGATCATATGTTGCTGATGCATCAAAAAATTTAAATGGAGAGTTGACTGTGCCGTTGACTGATGCTGTTAAAATCTATCTTCATCTGTCTAAGGTTTTTTCCATCTGTTCAGAATGTTATCTGGTTATATTATAAACCTTTTTTATTCATGTGTTCATTGGTGCATTAATACTCATTTGCAGACAGGGGACAGAGAATTTATAGGTAGTCTTTTGTGTCTCATTCACAATATTAAGAGGGCTATCCACATTCATGAGGATTTGTCACAAAATGTGCAAAGTCCATCTGAGCTCATCACTGGCTCTTTCGATAGCATCAAGGTACGCTGTCTTCCTTGATTTTTCTGTTTCTTTTTTTGGATGACGTTTATTCAACTTCTGTTCCTATCATGCAATATCCGTTTAACCTCAATTTAGTTGTACCATAGAATTAAACTGTAATAGAGATACTGATGAGGTTATTAGTGCTATAGTTTCTGGCATTACAAAACTCTAGTACGTATGGGTCATAATGGGCGGTGTGGACATTGGGAGTCTGAAACCTTGATTCTGCCGCCTTCTTGTAAAAGCTTCTTTGGCAGCAAAATAACATATATTGAATGTGGTTGTGTGTTTTTAGTCTCCCAAATACTGCCGTCACTCTTTTCTTTCTTTCTTTTCTTTAAGACGGAGTAATTTTAGTTTATTCTCATCGATATTCACCATCGGGTTAACAGGCATTCCAAGATCAAAGTGATTCCGAAGGAGATGCTGGTCATAGATCGAGACTATTTATTGTTGCTTTGTCCAAGATATTCCAATTACTCCAAAAAGCATATGATGGTAAGTGGTCGGTTGCTTTGGTTTGGAGGAGCATACCAATTATTCATTATTAAGCTCTAGTCTTTCAGCTGGCCATTTTTGTGAAGAAGTAACAAATTTTCTGTAACCTGATATATTACAAATTGGCTTTGATGTTATTCTTGCTCAATGATGACTTTACGAGTATGCGTATTAAAATCATTGACTCCCTTTTCGATTTTGGAACAAAATATTTAGGTTTTTAAGATTTTATTTTTTTACTTAGATGCCTGTAATTTAACTTGCAGGTCAAATTGTTGGAGTTGTTTTGTTTTCTGGATCATCATCACCAAATGCAGAAAAAGGATTAAATGTGATCTTTAACCCTCGATCGACTCCACGTTGGTTGGTGGAAGAAGTCAAACTTAACACAACTATTCAAGAAGTGATACTGGTTAGGACAACCCTTGCCTGGATCACTGGAATCATCCTTTTGATTGCAACTCTTATGGGGGTAATTTTTTTTTTTTACCTTCACTCCATTTTGTTCACTCTAGTTTTGAAATAAACATAAAAGTGGTTAATAATACGTTATTTATCTGCTTTTTGTGGCCTTAGAAATATTAGTGACTAGTCTATGATAGAAATTCATATTAATTTTTGGTGCTTCTGACATTTTAGCTAACTTTTATGTTAAAAATAATATAATACTGTTCTATCCTGTTCATAAAATATGACAGCATATATGTTGTTTTTGTTGATCTTTTGTTGTTTCATTGCAGTCGTGCTGCCTTCTAAGGATGCCTCTCACGAGGGACACCCTCCTCTATTCTAATGTGAAATTGGACTAAGATCGAATGAATAGACGATGCCCGAGATGATCGTCTGCCATTGAAGCATTTAGGGCATGAGATTTGTGTAAGTGCCCTTTCAACAATGTTCTTGTCTACATTTTGGTGTAGAAAACTTTGGTATTATTAATGGTAGCAATGTTATGGTATGCTGCCTTCTTCAAGATAATGATGGCTTTTGGCTATACAGTGGACGTGGATGGATAACCAGATTTTTGTGTTGTATAATAAAGTTATTTTTGTATATTATTATCAGAAGTCACAGCTCACTGAGGTCTGGTGATGCAATTATTCAACTTTGTTGTACTTTATTTTTGGTGGACATGAGTTTTTCCAAGCTCCAAAATAATTCCATTATTACAATCTTTAATGTGCTTGCATTCTTTAGTAAGCTTCTTTATTCTGTTTTTGCACCTGAGTTGTTTTGTGTTTCATGTTTTACTAATATCAACGTGTTTTCTTTTTTTATTCTTTCTGATCCCACGTTGGGGAGGAGAACGAAACATTCCTTATAAAAATGTGCAAACCTTCTCTTAATAGAGACATAGATGTGTTCGGTGATACGTAATGGACCAAAACAAACAATATCTGCTAATGTTGGATTTGAGTTATTACAAATGGTATTAGAATTGGACACCTAGCAGTGTGCCAGCGCGGACATTAGAGGCTCAAGGGGAGTGGGTTATGTGATCCCACGTCGGTTGAGGTGAGGAACATAGTATTTTTTTTGTAAGAGTATGAAAATTTCTCTCTAATAGACACGTTTTAACACTGAGATTGATGATGAAGATACGTAACGGGTTACACTCTTTTATTAATATTTTCGTTCAATACTTTCATTAATATTTTCAAATGTTGGGTTAAATATTGATATGTTTATTTATTAATTGAGATGATTTTTTAATTAATTTATTATTATTTTTCAGAAATATCAATTCACATTTATATTTCCGTAAAATTGATAACTCTAAATCGAATAAAAAAATGTTTGCTTCACCTTAAAAATAAATAAATAAATAAATAAAAAGATTGGTATTGCTAGGTTCGGCTGATGTCTGGATTTCCCGCTAGTTCTTCACGCAAAACGTGTGATTTTAAATTAGCACTCTTAGACTTTTCCCCCATTGGAAACATATATACTCAAGAGTTTCTTCATTCTTACATTTATCCCCTTCCTTCCACAGTCCCTCCAATTTCTCTGCTACATTTCAACGTTTTCCTCCATGATTCCTCCTCTCAAGATCTCATCATCTAGTTCTCCTTCCAATTTCTTCATCTCTCGCTGTATGAATCACGCTGGCAACGACCTCGAGGAGCTCCTGTGGCTCCAGGAGTAGCAGCGGTGGTTTCATGAAAAGGAACAGTGGATCCGCGAAGAGCAGCGTTGAGCCAGAGAACGCGAGTTGCTTCTGCTGGAAATTGCTGAGGTTAAGCTGCAAATTCAAGCGTTAGAACGCCGAAGTTTCGTATGAGGAGGGACGGTTTCGTGTTGGAGACGTTTGCGAATATCGCCGGCCTGTTGCATGTCTTGAAGGAGAAGAATCTGATGCCGAGACGGCTGATGGTGGAGTCGCATTTTGTTGGATGAGAGTACTCGTGAAGAGGATGCGGAGATAAAGAAGAAGGCAATTGTTGAAGAAGTTGTTAAGTTTTCCGACGCAAGTAAGACCGAGAAAGAGGTGAAGAATGAGAGAAAGTCCTTGAGAATTGGTTCGGAAGGAGCGGAAGTCCTAGCGCCGCAGGTCTGCTCGCCATTCGCATTTCTTCTATCTAATATTAGAAGGCGAGTCTTAAGGTCCGTGCTGCTTCTGTTCCTATGATTTTGTCTCTTCGATAGGATTTCATCGAGTTTCTTAACCATATGCAAGAAGGTTGGTAGATCGAACTTGCTGATAGACGTTGTGCGTCTGAAGCCTACTGCCTGAAAGAATAGTCTTAAAGATGAATATAGTCGATCGAACTCTATGGCAGATGTTGAGATAAGTTGAATCGAGTCTCTATCTTGTGCACTTTTGGTATTGTTTTCCTGCTTTTAGCTATTTGTGATGCTTTAATTTCTTTTATTACGAATCACTGACTTTTATTACGAATCACTGAAGAACATGCTTCTGTATTGTTTTTCCTCTATAAAATGCCAGGAAGCATTGCGTAGGCCAGGATTTTACTCCGGTGAAGAATACATGGAATTTTCTAGTTTCTGCAGTGGAACTGAGCGTGCTGTTAAAGACTTGGCAGGTAAGATTATTCTGGAGTTGGTAGTAGTCTATCATTCTTTACTAATTCAATAGGATTTCTACAGGTTTAGTCCATATTCTTTCAATCCGTGACACTATATAGTATACACATCAATTTTTATTTGATAGGCCGCCTCAGGCTTCCGCGAAGAGGTATAATGACTGCAGAACTCCTTGAAATTTTATATAAGGAGAAACGAACTGAGAGTCCTGGATCAGATGCCAAAACAGATGAAAAAGGGAATATTCCAACCGATCAGAAAGTATGTTTTATAACTTTTTATTCCATATATCTAATGTTGAATCAGAATCAGGTGACAGATCTCCTTGGAGTTCTCTCTTTGTATGTCTTTCTGGTTGATCGAAGTATCTGGTATTTGGTGTTTTCCGTTCATATGCTCAATGGCAACTGTCTGTCTTTGTACGATTTAGTTGAAGAATACATCTGATACTTTGCCAAAGCAATGTGTTGCATATGAACATTCCAACATATTTTTCACTTGCGAGTTTCTAGAGTCCAGAAGGTGCAGTGCCTTCTTCATATATGCATATGTTTGTATGCATGTATATGTAGATATATATATATATATATATATATATATATATATATATATATATATATATATATATATATATATATGTATGTATGTATGTATGTATGTATAGATTTTATGTAATACTAAGAAAAAATGAAAGAATACTAGCCTACAAGAAGTGCCTTCTCCATTGTTATACAAATAAAATTTCAAATCTCCTCTCACAGAATTTAATGTTAATCATCTGGTACGTATTGCTTTGTCAGTTTTACTTTCAATAAACTTGTGTGCAATATTTCTTCCCTCCTTTTTTGCTGTTAATTTAAGAACTGAAATATCAGAGATTCAGAAAAATATAGTGCAAGTTTTTCTCATAGGAAGGATCTGATGGGAAGACCCCGCACAACTTCACACAGTAAATATGTAGATGTTGTGGGAGGGTCGTCTGTTATGCACAGGTACATGACACTATTCTATCATATGTTTAAAGTGCATTCTTTTTTCTTTTTTTAGTAACGAGGATTGAATTATCCAACGCTCTAATTCATAGTCTAAGAAAGTCTTGGAATTATTTGTCGAATTTCCAAAAGGACTTCAATACAATACCTTAAAGTTCAAAAGTTCTACCAGCAGTATGCATTGGAATTTTTGTCATAACAATTGAATAAGTTACTAAAAAAGAGGTATACAATCGGAAAAAAAAAACATTTTTAACTTATTAGCTTTTTCAACCCTGACTAAGATATGTCATCGACTTAGACTTGGAGATGGGAGGGGCTTGAATCCCCTGCTTCATTGAACTTCCCAAAAAAAAAAAAAAAAACTATTTTCCTCACACGTGCGCGCCCACACGTTGAATGCTCTTGAAGTTCTAGTCCCTCGTGTTGAGGATCATTGTAAGTGAGTTCCACGTTGGTTAATTTAGTGGAAGATCATGAATTTATAAGGAATACTATCTTCCATTGGTATGAGGTCTTTTGAGGAACTCAAAACGAAGCCATGAGAGCTTATACTCAAAGTGCACAATATCATACTATTGTGGAGAGTCGTGATTCCTAACACATTCATCTTGAGAAATCAACCAATTTTATTTTTTCAGGATGTGACCGAACCGGTGAGCCAAAGATTGAACCACAGGTGAAATCACTCATGAACCCATTTGTATTTCCTTCGAGTTTTCTATGGTAATTTTATGTAAAAAGAGAATTGTTTCGATTGTATGGTGTAGTTTCTGCAATGGGTGAACGAAGGAACAAAATGTCCATACTGCGATGGCCTTGGTTATGCGGTACGTACGTGACGTAGAGGTAAGTAAATGATTGCTTGGTTATTGTTCCTTATTTAGCACTTTTTCTAGTTCTTTATACCTCAATCGATTCTGTGTTTTGTTATACGTCTTTTTTCAATTTTAAAGTTCTAGATCAATTGTCTTTTAAAAAAATTAAATTTATCAAATACCTATACACTAAATTAAAAACTCTGTGACTTATTAGGTACAAATTGAAAATTTAAGAGCCAGTGTAGATATTTTTAAGCTAGACACAAACCCCAAACTTTAGAAATTAAACATGTTATACAGCCATAATTTAATCAAGATTTAAAACCTTAATAGAAGACGCAGTGTAATTTTTAGTTTTTGGTTAAGTTGGACGCTCAAGGTGCCCACCCGTCTCTGGTTAAGTCGACTGGCCATCACAAGTTAGAAGCCAATTAGGAAACCGACAAATTTCTATTAATCTCTCCTAGCATTGGATAATTTTGTTGAGTTAAATTACCAATTATATTTTTATTTTTATAGATATTAATCTTCAACTTTAAAAAACATCTAATAAGCATCTAGATTTTTAAACTTATTATTAATAAATTCTTAACCTATGAAAAAAGTATCAACTTCATGTCTAAACGGCAAATTTAAAAAAAATATCATCCAACATAAAATTAAAAAGAAAAGACATTTTAAAATTGATTTTCTTAAACTCGAAATGTAACTAACTTGTAAAACTAAAATAATAGATTTAAACTAGACAGATATACAATTAGAAGGTTTGGAATAATAAAAAAAAAGGTCTAATTCTTTCAGAATAACCAAAACCTAACTGAAAAAATCTGAGTTCAAGAGGAAAGTACTCACTCGTTGGCTTTAATTCCTGTATCATCCATCAATCTAAAGGTTGGTAAAATACCATTGGAATTAAAGCCAAAATATCATATTTTCAAGGAGTATTTCATGATAATCAGATTCTTTGTAAACCTTTTATTAACTATTTACCAAATCATCACAACAAAATTTTTAAAAGAACAAGCAAAACTACCTAGAGTCCACAAGGAGATTTCTAGAACCCATTTGACACCGAACAATAGAAAATAATCCAGGTAAAAATTACACAACTAAACGAAAAACATTACCCACTCAGTTCAGTAAAGCCCCCCATCATCATGAATGTCCCCAGGCCCATTCACACACTCTGACCTAGCGAACTTCTTATTCCGACCCCCCAAGAAAAAGAAACATTGTAGGATTTTCACTTTTTTTTATTTCATCTACCTTTTTGTAAACTAACAAACAAAACCAGAAACATATCTTACTTACCATCGAGATGTGCCATCTTCCAACTGTGCTCCTGTAAGAAGTGTGTGTTTACAGGTTTGTTTTCAATTTGCTACCCACTTCAATTTTCCTACTTATAGTTCGCATCGTCACGAACTCCTCTGCCGCAGATGGGTGTATCCCAACCTGTTTCAATTTTCGAAGTTATAAAAATGAGTTTGAAATAATTTCTAGGATTCTAAGACACTTAAAAACGGGACTTGAGAATGCTTCTACGTGTGCATAATTAAGAACTAAGTTTGAAATGACTCTTCAAATACCTAAAAAAGAAAAAAAAAAATTGATTTCGAGAAAATCGTTGAAAATAAATTTAATTCACTTAAAATGTAGCTCTTTTTCCAAAATTTCAAAATGAGCCGGTAAAAACAAGTTTAGAGGCAGTTTGAAATGACTTTTCAAATGCTTAGAAAGAAACGACCGCTGACCCTGCTACTTCAATTCCAACTCAACTAACCAAGGGACCTCTCGGCAAATAAGAGCAAACAAGATCAGAATTGAAACAAACAACCATATTCTTCGAATTATAATATTAAAGTTTGCTTGAAAGATCATGAATTTCTTAGTATTTTAAAAGTAATATTCTACAAGGGCAAAGGAAATGGATGGAAAACTTACAGTGCTGTCAAACTGTTGTTTGGTTGCTCCACATTTCAGAGCGACAGCGATTCCCTGAATAGAACCACACGATATAAAAGTTGAAAATCAACTTCAAAATTACAATTTGTCATATATGGAATGGAAAAAAAGGATCCGCAGTGCCTGGCCAGGTTTCACTTGTTTGGTCCATTTTAAAAGGAAAAAATTAAATTAAATTAAATACTAGAATAATAGAATGTAGCAAATAAAACCATATTTTCTAAACAAAATATAAAACGCACCTGCATAATTTCAGGAGCATCTGGTCCACACATCGATGCGCCAATGACCTTTTGTGTGTTACCATCAACCACAAGCTTCATCACTGTCTTCTCTTGTCGACTGTAACACCATCAGATAAGTGATGTACTTACAATAACCAATTTTGTAGACAAAACAAGAAATTGCAACTAAATAAAATATATATTTTAAAAAACGCCATTTACAAAACAAAACAAAAAAAAAAAAAAAAAAAAAAA